AGATAGATAGATAGATAGATGGATGGATGGATGGATGGATGGATGGATGGATGGATGGATGGATGGATGGATGGATGGATGATCCAGTAACTGAAATAAGTTGCTCCATTTGGCAGATTCCCATCAGGGGGTTAACCAATAGCTTTGACAAGTAGCCTTCTTCCTGCCATGCTTTCTGAGGGCACAGCTTCCAGTTGGGCACAGCGCAGTAATGTAGCTGTGATTGGAAGGAACTTTGCCCCAAAGGATCAATTGCACAGAGGACATTTACTCACCCCATATGGGTGATAATACGATAACTCCTAGCCAAGGTGCCAGCCCATAAAATGCCCACCAGTCAGCACACAGATGAATCACAGCTCCCTAGTGATCATTGCTCTGTTTGATGCCATCTCAACATAAGTGTGTGTGTGTTCTGCCTGTGTGAATGGAAGATATTCTCCTAATATCTTAAGTGCATTTCGGGAGAGGAGATGGGTTGACCGCCTAGCAAATTCTGCTCCTGATTCCTGCCTTCAGTCCTGTTCGGCAGAGAAGCTCTTTCTGCTGTAACCCAGCTGACAGCGTGTTGGCCTAGATCTGCCCTTTGGCAGATGTTCACTTAGACCTTGATTTCACAAACAGAAGATGAGGCTGTAAAGTTAGATGGCCGTCATTTCAGTTTACAACTGAGAATTTTCCAGTGATTCACCCTGCACAGAGAATTTCCTGCAGAGAGATATCTAGGTATCGCTCTAGAAGGATCTCACCTAGTTTTCCTGGGATACTAGATTTCTATATGTCCCCATTTTTTTTCCTTGGTGAGAAAACATTTCAACATGCAGTTTCACCTACAGCTTAAAGTCATGTGTGCAACTATAGATCTGTTTGTGTTCTTGGTGAGAATCAGGTCTCAATTCCCCATCTATAAATCAGAGATGGTAGTTTCTTGAAAGAGTTCTTATGAACATGATAAAATAAGAAATATAAAAGGCTTGGCAAACCACATATCTTGAAGTCCCATATATAGCAATTATTAAAGTCATAGGCTCTGTTGATGCATAAGACTCTGGTGGTATCCTTTATAACAGAGGCAGTTTTAATATTTGAGTAACTAATGAGATGATGACGATGATGACGATGATGATAGCGGCGGTGATGATTAATGTTTGCACAGGGAAAATGAGTTTACTACGCTTTCCACAATCATTTTAACTCTACCATTGAACATAACAAAGAATTCTTTTGCCTCAGTCAGATTTGGTGGACCAAAACATATTAAATTTTCTACCTGAGTGTGAACAGAACAATGTGTACAAGCTACTTTCACCCCACACGCGCGTGACAAACCCAGTAACCTCCGATTTTTTAAACAGTAAGTAATGCATTTTGTTATCTCCAGCAAAGAGAGTGTAATTTTCCTATAGCATGCTGTAGAAATAGTAAATAGCACCTAAGGTGTTACGAGTATAAGAAAAGCCTTCTTCTGTGAGCCCATGTAACTTAACCTAACCCTAATCCTGAATCCCTTTTGAAGCCCTCCTGTCAGGAACCATTCCACATTCAATTAGTCCTACGAAGGTCCACTGCAGCGTCTCTGACAGATGACCATCCAAGGAGTAGGCTTTTCTTATATTTCATTCTCCCACAACATGCATCATTTTTGCAAACTGCTATCCTTTAGCTCAAAATTGAAGGATCTCAAACGTAACATTCCTTCCATTATAGGTCTTAGTTCCCTGACCATTCTGGTGCCTGTTTATCACTCTCTTTCCATCTTCACAAAGTCCACTTACGGATATGGTAACCACAACAGTTCACAATATTTGAAGTCTTGAACTTGATGTCTTGAACTCCCCGATCAAAAAATTACTCTTCCCTTTTCTTAAATATGATTCTTTTATTCTCTGCTGCTAGTGGTGCTTCTGTAGCCGGTTCTCCTTCCCATCTCATGACACCATGAAACTCATGTTTCTTCAGTGGCACAGGAACGATCATTTCAATGCTAGCAGTTCTAGGGTTCTCCTAGGAACGCTTGAATCTCTGCCTAAAGTTTCCAGATAGGGCTTAAGGAAGTCTAATGGAATTGGAGAAATTGGCTTATGATATTTGAATTCCAAATATGGGGTTGGACTGGAGGGCCTTGAAGGTATCCTCCAACTTGATGATTCATTGATTTTTATTATCCTGTAAAACCTCTTCTTCATCTGTCTCTTTCAGCTGAAAAACAAATCGAGTTTTGCTGCCATTTAGCCCGAGGAAACCTGGATCCGAATGAAGCCATTACCTATGAATACGTCAAATTTGTAGTGGATTTCAAACATTTTTCTCATGGTAAGCTGATGCATTCCCCCCCCCCTTTTTTTACATGCTGTTAATTTATCTTTGCCTGATATTCAGCTTATTCCGAAGCATGAATCAAAATCACATCCTTCCACAATCATAGTAGACTCTCGGCAGCTCCCAACAAAAAATGCAACACAGCAATCAAACGAAAAACCTTATAATGCATTAAAACATGCCCCCCGCCCCCAGTACGTGGTGTCAGCCTCCCGAGCTCTTGAGGAAAGCTCCATTTTCAGCATTTCCCAAAGAGCCAATGAGAGTGTGGGGGTTTTATTCATTATTTCATCTCCTCCTTCTCACTCGGCACCAGTATTTTATGCCCTTTGTCCAGCAGTTCTGATAGCATCGCTCTAAAGAAAGCAAATGACAAACTCGAATTGCTCGCTTCGTTGCTATCCGTCGAAAGGTAGAGGGCTCGAATTCAGATAGAGAAGGTGCAGCCTACTTTTCGTGAGGTTTGCTGTTGTTTTTGTTTCTAGTGCCTCCATCTTCTTACAACGGCTTTGAGTCTCCCGTTGCACGTGTGTTCCGGTCAGTCAATGACAACCAGGGCTGTCTGGTAGCAACGGTTCGTCTCATTACTCCACAGTTCTTGAAGGTGCGCTGTCTCTTTGTTTAGTACAACCTTGCCATAACCAGATACAATTCAGGGGCTTTTGAGAGGGGCCAGTGGAGCAATCTGTGCAAAAAGCTTTCCACGAGCTCTGCATGCAGAACTATCACGTGATGACTTCATATGGATCCAATTTTTTGAGTAAACACATTATAAAAAAAATCAAAATGAAAAAAACACAAAACCTTCCTACATGTGGAATATTAGCATGTTCCGAGTAAGGCTGGGGCGGAATTTTTCTACATTTTTTGGTTTTTCATCTACTGCTATTTTTGTTTGTCTTAATATGGAGCAGTATTTTGAAATGTGGTGATGTAGCTACACCGTCCCCAGGAGATACATCCCTGTGACGTTTTGCAGTAGATAAGATTGCTCTGCAGGTTTACAGTTTTATGTAAGAAGCATGAAACGAAGGAACAGTTCAGACTGTGAGGATCCATGCGATGGATAACTCTTCCGTACTCACAGTGATGCATTCTTTGTCCATAGAAAATAAAGCATGTCAGTTGCTTCTATTCTACTCTTCACCCTGATGTGAACATGTAAGGAGTTCTTCCCCGTGAGGGATGTTCACAGGCTAGTAATTTTTGTGGATTTATTTATACAGTTGCACAGTATGTAATTTTACAGGTTACATGGGAGATTTGCATGTTTCAGTGCTGAGAATCTTCATGATGGGCCCTGCCTGCTTCAAATATCATATTCTGGCATATATTTTAAAATGTGTACATGCAGTGTTGCTAGGTTGGGGTAAAATAGCACTGTTTCTTGCAGATATTTGCCAACATAATGTTCACTGAAGTTAATGGGATTTTAAAAGAATGATTTTACCTCAGTCTTCCCCTAATTGATGCCTTTCAGATGCATTGGGACTGTAGTTCCTAGAATTCATAGCCAGTCGATATAGAAGGGAAAATTACAATTTGCAATCATTTTGCTATCTCTGATGCCAATAGGGATTGTCTAGTGCCCTAAACCACAGCATTGTGTTGGGTGAATCCAGCCACTGTGGCTTGTCAGCCATGGTTTAAGCCTTCATGTGTTGTAACTTAGTCAACAAACCACAATTAGAAATTAGAACAGCTTCTGGATGGAGAATAAAGTTTACAGTACAGGTAGTCCCCAGTTTAAGAACAAGTTCCGTTCCCAGAGTCTGGCCTTAAATTGAATTTGTATGTAAGCCAGAACAGTATTATTGTACAATATTGTATAAGTAGTATTGTGTAATGGACTCAAACCATTGTGTTTTTAACTTGAATCATTGTGTCTTTAACTCAAATTTTGCTATAGTAGGCTCCGTTCTTCACTATGGGTTGTCCATAAATCAGACGTTCTTAACCCGGGGGCTACCTGTATGGGAAGAGAGTTAGAAAGAAATTACACTGATTTTTCAAAGAGTTGCGTTATCAACAGTCTCGCTTGCTGGATTTGGGTTTGTCAAATGGATTATTTGTTTTTGGAGAGTTGCAGCTATGAGAGAGAGAATGAGGGAGGGAGGGAGAGAAATGAAGATGTCTAACTATATCCTATGCCGTCTATTTTGGCAGGAACTTTGTAACGTGGAAGAACCCTGCGAAGAATTCACATCACGGCATAGCCTAGAGTGGAAGTTTTTGTTTTTAGACCACAGGTAAAACTGTTCAGTTTTAAAGCAGCATGATTCTCTGTGGAACAGAAGATTGCTTGGAGCAAGAGAAATGGGGAGTTTAAAAGGGACATCAAGGGTGTCTGCAGGGGTGTCAGAAAAAGTCAAGATAGTGTCTGCAACCATGTCATCAAAGCGCCATTGCGATTGGCCATCATCTTGACTTTTTTGACCCTTCCCAAACCCCCTGGACAAGGTAGCCATTTGTACTCCCCATCTGGGCCTGGATTCATTATCAGGCAAATGTTTCATTCTCTTGGCCTAAAATCTTCCTCATTTTTTCACAACAGCTATGATTAGCCTTTCGAAACTTGTAATCGGAGATGAAAGGCTGGATCTAAAGCTGGGGGTACAGCCTGAGGCCGGTGGATAGCCCAAGGCCCCCAGACTTTCTCCAATAAATTATAATTTTTATCAGGAGGAAAGGACTAAACACATCACCATCATGTCAGAGATGTTGGAGGGGGTCAAAAAAGTTACAGTGATGGTTGCAACCACGTGATTGAAGCCCCAGCCTTCTTTTGCATGCGTATAAAAGGAGGTGTTACAAACCTTGACCCCCCTCACGGGCACCCCTGCCTTATGTTCAGTGCCTTTAAATGATAATTAAATTTAATTATAAAAAAATAATTTTTCCTCCCTCTTCTTCCCTTCTTTTTGGAATGCAGACCTTTAAAGGCCAAACGTAGCCTCCAGGCTGCCCAAATTTTTGCCCCCTCCTTTAAATATTCCTATCTTCTGACAGAAAGACCCTCTTGGTTGGAAGAAGGAAGTCTTTGCATCTAGCTCCGCTTCTGGATTTCCTTTCACACACTACATTGGTGAAACTGAAGCCTCGTTTTGATTTTAGAAAAGCATATCAGCATCTTACAGCTATGAGGTTCATGGATGAACTGGACAGAATATGAAGCTGTATTTCCTTTTCTTTGTTTATACAATACTCTGTGTCCCCACCCCCAGGAAGTAATTTTTTTTTTAAATTTTGAGAGAGAAAAAAGCAAACACTTTCTCCTCTTCCGACCTTTTCTCCATCGGGGTTCTTATAAAATCCCAATACTTTTCTCGCTTATTTCAGTGTTGTTTTTTCCTTCCCAAAGTTTAACCCCCATCCCCAGCTTTTAAGAATCTTTTTGCATAAGGACAATGATTCATCTCTAATTAAATGGACGGCCATTATAATTTTAATCCTTCTGTTTGGCACGCCCTAATTAATATTGTTACATGCGTGCATCCTGCTTTCACATGGTGAGGTGTCTGTGGAGTTCCTGACTTTCCTGGGAAATCAGTTTCCTTCAAAGGAGGTCACTGGGGGCTTACAGGCTTTCTGTGAAATAGGGTTTATTACACACAGATATTGGCTTAGCAGGAGTTCTCTAAGCAAGCTTCTGCCTCCTCCTAGATCCAGACAGACTGACTTCCTACAGAGACCTTATTCATCCTCTCCCTTGTCTAAGAAAGAAACATAATTTCTGCCCATCACCTTTCCTGGTCTTCAAAGCAATTGCTTTGAA